TTTTATAGTTTAGTTATTCAAGAATGCAGTTTCACATTCTTGCATCTCTGAAGAACTGAAACTTTTTATATTTGAATTAATATAGGGATTAAGTATAGTTGTCACCTTGGAGGAATTCTAAATCGTTGTTTTAATTCACTTTTAGGCAGAGAAGTAATATGTAGTTTTGAGTTTAGGATGAAGTCCTTAATTTGTTATCCCAATCTACATCGTGCGCGCGATGGATCTACTAATGAAAGAGCGTTGAGTGGCAGTGGGCACTACACGAAACAACTTTGTCTAACTATCGCTTCCAGTTTAATTTAATGTGTTCTTACATGTTTGCATACTCTACATACTTTCCGCAACTTACGAAAACTAAAGAAAAAATAGTAGAAGAAAATAAAATTAATTAAAATCATAAGACAAAATATATGAAAAGTTATTAATTTTACTATTAATAATTACTAATAATTTTTCATGAAACTTGTAAGGTGGAAATATAAAAAGACTTGTGCAAAGATTAAAAAGAAACTGAAATTTAAAATTAAATTTATATTTATTATTTTTTATATAATTAATATATATGTATATATGTATGTAATATAAATAATAATGAGAAAATTACCCAACGGACGATCTAATAAGTTTTTTATTCCTAATTAACGATCAAATATTTTTGTTACCAAATTAAACTTTTCCTTTCCACTTTAATGAGATTTTTAGTTTCTTAATACCCGTTGACAACATCTTCTCATCCTCTATTAAACTTATTCAATTTCTCTCGTCTTTCAATTATCACTTCACAGAACACACGCACACACCAATACTTCATATACATATAACATCTCTTCACGTATCTTGTTGTCTCTTCTTCTTAGATCGACCGGAATATCGAGCGTCGGAGAGAGGTACAACAACCAAGCTTGGCGGACATCGATTCGGATCGCTGACTTGATACTTGGGGTCCGTCGAGTACAGATTCTCATGCGAGAGCTTGAGTAGCAGCGACGACGGCTCGGTCAAAGGTTTTCGTATCAGATCAATGTCTCGCCTACATGTTTTCATCCCAAATCAATGTTCACTGATAGGCGCGCGACCAAGTTTGAGGGTAGGGTTTTTTTTCGGATCCAGTTATCGGCGGCGATTTCGGTGGCTTCGATTTGGGCATCCATCAACGGCGGTGCGAGGGAGAGAGGTATCTAAGTTATAAAAAAGCTCTATGTTATAATTAGGGTTGCTCACGAGAATTAAAATTAAGGACAGAGGTTGATATATATTGTAGAAAGCTCCATGGTATACTTGCAACTAAACTATGGTTAGACACTTTTTTTTTTTTGTACTTCTTATTTCATCGTAATAAAGATTCTTTGAAAGCTACATGATTTGTGATTTTTGTTGGACCAAGTTGTATATTTATAGTTTATGTTAATTGTATTGCTAGGTTGGACATTAACTCTGATCTGAATGATCTTTGTATACATATTGGTATAGTATGAGTAATTATTTGTAGTTTGTTGTAGGCCTTGAAATCTTTATAATGTCATTAACTCTGATTTGCAGTGGTGCTAGCGGAGCTATTGACGAGGGGACGACTTGGTTAGGATCTTGGACAGTCGTTTGGAGGTGTGTGGTTAGGTTGAGGTGCTTACCGAGAAGTGATGCGAGTTGGAAAACTTGTCGAGAAGTGCTTAGCGTGCTCGTCAATATAGGCCGAGTGTGAGGGAAGTCGTATTGGATAGGGATTTTTTAATATTTTTATTCCACCTTTATAACTATTAAAATTACATCTATCATTCCTCTCCCCAACCCATTTGTTTTTGGCAGAGTCGAAGAAATGGAAACACGCCCATCGTCGACAACGCACGTCATAAGGTCCGACTTCTTGAAGGTTTGTCAACGGATCCGATGTCACAAGAGCTTCTCCGCCTTCACCACGCACCACCAGCGGGAGGCTTGCATCCTTAGCACTATCCTAATCATCGCCAACCTCACCTTCGATTCGAGATCTATGTCCGGTTCCTTCCTCCCTCTGTCGGTGTGGCCCGCCGCCTTGATGCTCAACATGTAACAGCCTTGAGATTAAATTTGTGGTTTGGTAATTTAGGGTTGAGCAATTTTTTTTTTCTTTTGTTGTAGGAATTTCATTGATTGATCTTTGGATCTATGAATTACTGGAATTTGTTTTTAATGTATGTTCAATTTTCCTTTGGTATTTGAAAGAGGCTCTAAAATTATTACCCATGATTGAAATTTTGATTGGATCTTGAGTTCGGGTTTATCTGTGATTTATCTGTGGTTTTTTGTTGGTTTATCTGTTGGTTTATCTGTTGGTTTATCTGTGGTTTATCTGTGGTTTCTTGTTGGTTTATATGTGTTTTTTGTTGGTTTATCTGCGGTTTATCTGTGGTTTTTTGTTGGTTTATCTGAGGTTATACTTATATATATATATATATGTGTGGTTTATCTGTAGTTGTTTGTCGGTTTATCTGTGGTTTTTTGTTGTATGTGGTTTTTTGAATCCCGAGCTCGAGATTCAAAAATTTCTCTGTCGATATGATTTCTTCGTTTTCTGCTATGTATTATCTCTCGTAATCGCTCTGAAATCGCTCTCTTTTATTTTCTCTCTTTTATTTCCAAAATGCGCGACCTGATTTCGGAAAGAATCAGTTAAGATTTCAGAGCAATTTTCCTTCCTTTTTATTGTATCGTAATTTTGGGTTTTAAGTTTAATGCGGCGACAAATATGTGTTTAAAAGTTTAAGCTCGTTTAATTGACAGTGATGTGAAATTAACACGTGGATGTGTACTTTGGCCAATTGATTGTTCTTTTTTTGTTGTCTTATTTGTAGTTTATATTTAGTTTTATTTTGGTTTTTTTCACTTTGTTTTTCATGATTTTGCAAAAAAATGAATAATAAAATGGTTAGATATATTATGATTATTAATTGTTCTTTTTTTTTTGTCTTATTTGTAGTTTATATTTAGTTTTATTTCGGTTTTTTTTGTCAATTTGAGTTTCATGATTTTGCAAAAAATGAATAATAAAATGGTTAGATTATGATTATTAATTGTTCTTTTTTTTTATTTGTAGTTTATATTTAGTTT